AGTGTTTTAGTGAGTCCCTAAGCAACTTAGCTCAAAGTATAAAAAAATAAAAAGGGTTGGAGATGTGGCTTAGTGGTTCAGCACCTGTGGGTTCAATCCCCAGTACCAAAAAAGAAAGAGAGAGAGAGATAGAGATAGAGATAGTACAGCAACCAAAGTGCCCTTTTATTATCTCCAAGTGGCATATATGGTTTATACCCTTCATGAACATTTTCAGATGCCTATACAGGAATGTGTAAATCTGTTTAAAAATCATTTCAGATTATTCATACTGCTCTATGTTTGCTTTTTTCACTTATAATTATATTTCACAGACAAGACTATGTTTCTCTTGCCACCRTAAGATCAGTTGACTGTGAGAAAATGACTCTTTTATAACTCTCTCAGCATGTTTTCTCTCGGTCCTTAATGGGTTTATTCTTTTCAAAGTCATGTGGATTAATTCCAGCGTGTCAAATAAATCTTTGGTTCTAAAATGACACGGTTAACAAAGACAAACAACTCATGTGCTCACAATTTTCCATCCAGTGACTTGTGAACATGTTCAAGGAGACTCCCTACCCGGCCAAGTCCTGCTCTAGAAAGGGCATAGCCAATGGGTGCCAGGGGCCTGGGAGCTGTTGAAGTCCCAGGTTTCTTTACCAGCCCATGAGCCAAAAAGAAATTACACAAGAAAGCAAAGGAGAGAAGCTGAGGCTTTGTTAGCATAGCAGAAACTGCAAATTCCAACCCATGGTGACAGAACAGGACACCCTAGGACCCTGATCCTGAGTTTTCTTGGGCCCTGTTTTGGTGTTAAATGAAGTTGTATAACGGGAAGCACTTTGCAATCCTCCTTGAGTGCTGGGGATTGCATTATTGGTTTCATCACGGCTTTATGAAGCGGTTTTAGATGGGAGAAATAAACTCTAGATCATGAAATGTTTGGTGTCCAGGTGGYCTCAGTCCTGAGATTATAAGTCTGCATAAAACATTTAAGGAAAAAAAAAAAAACATCTCCTATCGGGACATATTAAGTGGCAAGAGAAAGAGTAGAGAGTGTTTTAAATGCATGTGGTTTGAGAGATCAGAGGCGGGAGGGTGAGGCAGGGATTTGGTGGAGGGGAGGTTCCCTTGAGGGTTGAATTTGATGTGACTGCTCTGGGGAGCTCGGGTGCTTGGAGGGACACTGGTCCAGAGGCCACTGTGAAGGACTGTGGTGTCATGTGGATGTGATCAGCACCTACAGTCGTGGTCACCGACTAAGGCATATCAGCCCCCACAGCGCGGTGGGTCTCACCAGTCACGGGAAGGCCTTCTGAGCGGGAATGGGACTTCCTGGAGCAGGAGTAAATGGAACACTGCCTGAGTCCCCGGCCTGCTGGCCTGCCCTCACCATCMTATGAGCCAATTCTTGAACATTTGGTTACGGATTGTGGTTCTAGAAGAAAGGACGAGACAGGCAGATTGCCACCCATAGAAACTCCTAACAAAATGCTAAGAGGCACGTTCTGGGTGACTGTGTATTCATACATTAGAACGCTTTTGTCCAACTAGACAGTACAGATTGGCTGGGTGCCCATAATTGTACTGGACAGAGTGGGGCAAGGAAAAGAGGCACTTAGGGGCCAGGTGCAGTGGCCTGTAATCCCAGCGGCTCGGGAGGCTGAGGCAGGAGGATCGTGAGTTTAAAGCCAGCCTCTGCAAAAGTGAGGCACTAAGCGACTCAGCGAGACCCTGTCTCTAAATAAAATATAAAAAGGGTTGGGATGGGATGTGACTCAGTGGCCCAGAGCCCCCGAGTTCAATCCCTCGTCCCCCTGCCCTGCCCCCCCCCAAAAAAAGAGGCACTTAGGGCCTTGCTCCCAGGCTGCAGTGACCCAGTTGACCTGAACATTTTCTATGTTCTGAAAAACCCTTATCATCTGTAGCCACAGGGCTAAGATTTCTGAAAAAACAAATCCAGAGTCTCATCCTCTGAGTGGGTAAATGAGAAAGCAAACTGAACTCTCAGTCTCACTGGCTGTGGGCTGTTAAGGTGAAATCAGGAAAGAAGATTCTAAAATTTGGAGGATATAGGGGCACATCCTGATGGAGATCCCTAAATTCTGAATCCCTAAATTCTGCTGAGTCTTCTCTGCCAGGAGAAGCAGTCCACCATGGCTGTATGAAKGGGTTCACTCTGCTTTACCTGAGAGGCCTGCAATGGCCTCCCCTTGGGTGGTTGCCCTGGAAGACACTGCTGATTCTCTTCGGTATCCACCCCACCAACCCTGTTTCTAGACTTCATCTCCAGCAGCTCTGGAAAGGTGAGGTAGGAAGAGTGCCCCATGAGCTGGAGGAGCAGCTCAGGGGTGGAACTCATGCTCAGCATGTGTGAGGCCCTCCCTGGGTTCCGTCCCCAGCAACACACACACACACACACACACACACACACACACACGCACGCAAAAGTGTTACCAAGAGGTAAACTACATTCCAAAAGAATAGCACTATTTTTCCAATTTACCCAGAATAAATCTGGGGAATAAAGGTAGGAATGGATGAAGCCCAGGAGGACAGGAAAGAAGAAACAAAGATATGTTGATATGGGTCCATTAAGCAGAGATTTTTTTTCATCCAATATGGTGGCCTAAGGTGTTGGAAAGAGCTCTAGCCATTTGTTGGTAGCTGAAGCTTGGTACCTATGCCAAATAAGTGGGGTGCGAGAGCTGCTTTTGGAACACTAGAGACCCAAAGACCCAATGGGCTCAAGACGGTGGCGGGGGTGGTTTGCACAGGCAGCAACATGGGAACGCCAGCTCCAAAAGGGAGGGACCATGACTATTTGCTTCATTGTGTCCTTGAGCCCAGATGGGAGCTGTTGCTGAGGTGCCCGATCACCGCCTGAAAGAATGAATACACAGACTATGAAATACTAAAATGCAGTATGAGGAAAGAGACCGTGGAGCCACTCAATGGAGTTTATTAACTTATTTAAAAATACAGAGATCATGAACATTTGTAAAATTCAGTGTGTACAGTCAAGTGGGCTTGGGAAATTCACACACACACACACACACACACACACACACACACAAATTACTAATACTTGAAGATCTGAGTTTTTTTCACCCCTATACTTTCAGATCAGTCAAAAGAAATGAATTTAGAAAACACACCTATAAGATATACTGGTAATACGTTTGTGCTTCGAGTCTATTTGCTTTTTTGAAAAATGCTTGTAGAGGATAACTGAGGTTTGGAACTTTTCACGAGTTTAAAAAGTATTTGAAAGTTCTTTGGAAATGACAAAACTTTCACGTATCTACAATTTAGCACCTCCATGTTTCCTTCGAGCCCCCCAGCGGTTCCAGGAATGTRTGGAGTGTGGAATGAGCCTGATGCTGCCGAGCAAGAAGAATCCCTTTTCAGAAGAAAATCAGAGCAAGTGTGGTAGATGGCTATGGACAAAGGCTACCAAAGGTTGTGTGGGACACAGGCCCCACTTGCTCCCCACCTCCCATTTCCTTCACGAAGCATGATGACCAGTTTAGTATTTTACCGGCTCACTGACATTTTCTTACTGGACTGGGAACACAGATATACAGATTCATGGGTTTTAGATTATCTATCACTCCCCCACCACACACACTTATCCTGCAGAATACAGATAAATTTTCTCTATTTTTTCCCTGGTCATAAAAATACACACTTCCTACAGAACAAGTTAGAGAAATAACCACCCATAATTGCCTCAGAAATTTGGCATATTTCTTTTTCCTGTCTTTTAAATAAGCAAATGCTGTTTTCGTACTTACTAGCATGTCCCTGACTATGAGCTGAGTCTGTTGTTTTCTTGAGTTTATTTTTAAGTCAGGGATTAGGTGGCTGAAGCCCAAGTTTGGCTTACGGACTTCTGGCCTGTCCTTCCCTTGTGATCTCTCACCCATCTTCTAAGGCCGGAGGACTATTTTCGTAGCCTAGCCTAATCTCCTGTGGACCTTGAACACATTTCTCCAYCTATTACCAAATACCTGAGATTTATTAATCACAACTGTTATCTTTATTTTTGTGAACACTGGGTAGCCCCAGGTTTCCCAGGAGAGCTGTGTGGACGTCAGAGAACAGAAACAAAACATTCCTGGTAACTCCCTGGCCTGGTCCTTCCTGGGACTGCCAAGTGGCCACATGGTCCTCACTGCAATTCAGGAAGGTTCAATGAGCCACATGGCTTTCATCACAAAACGCCTTGACTCAAAGGAAGGGAATCCTTTACTAGTATCTACAACACATGAAGTCTGTCTATTCACTTTTCTATAAGTAACTTACTTCTTTATGAAACAATTTGTCCTTCCAGATTATTAGTCAAATTTTATGATTCAAGAGTTGGGTAACTTCTGGAGTTCTAATGCATAGCAAAGTGACTGCAGTTAATAGTACTACACTGTGTTTCAAAACAGCTAGATCTTTAAATATTCTCAAAACAAAGAAATGATAAATATTGAGGTGACAGGAATGGGCTTGTTAGTCCAATTTGATAATTCCACCATGTACACATGTATCAAATTTGTATCCTGTAAATATATACATTATTTTTTCTTTGTTTTGGTACTGGAGATTGAACCCAAGGACACTTAACCACTGAGCCGCAWCCCCAGTCCATTTTTATGTTATATTTAGAGACAGGGTCTAGCCGAGTTGCTTTGGGCCTCGCTGAGTTGCTGAAGCTGACTTTGAACTTGTGATCCTCCTGCCTCAGCTTCCTGGGCTGCTGGGATTACAGACATGTGCCACCATGCTTGGCTTAAATATATATATTATATGTCAAGTAAAAATAAAACTATAGAGCTGGGTTATACACAGTCAATGGGCAGCTGACATAAAATCTGTATTTTTTAGTGAGACACCAGAGGGCCACTCATCCTCCTTCATCTCTTTCCTAATGTACCACTGACACATTTTGACTTATGTCCTTGGAGCCCAATTACATTTTCCAACTAAATAAAATGTCAATGCATTACAAACAGAAGTTCCGCCTCTATATACTGAACTAAAATTTATTCTGTAAAGAAAGCTTTACACATTTTAAAAAATGAAAATTCAAAAGTCTTAGAATTAAACAATGAGTCTTCAATATCATGAAGCTGTTTATAAYAGTAGCGAAAGTAGTGGTAACATTTTACCCTTGTGAAAATGTCACAGAATTCAAATCACAACTTGGATCCTCAATGATTCAAGTATTGTTTTATACATTAAAGGTTTGGTCAGTTTTGAGAGAGAGTGCCTCTGGACATGCTGTCCGCAAGTCCTCCACTGTCCCCGTCCGTCGTCGGCTCACACAGTGGGATAGCTGGCTGCGGTGGCAATTCCACAGTGGTTGTTCTTGTCTTTGGCCATTTTGACATAGCCATCTGCGCCCCATTCTGGACCCCAGCTGAAGGTTTTTCATTTTATTAAAAAAAAAAAAAAAAAGAAAGAAAAAGAAAAAAGATTAGCTTCGTTAATAACAGCTGACACAGTGTTTACATGTGACGGGGACACTGTTCTACATGCTATCACACCTGTATCTGCTATCACATCTGTGTCTGCTGGCTCCATATGCCACCCCACATTACATTTCAATAAAAGACAATTAGTTGTGAAAATCAATCCCAGCTATCTTTGAGGCCTCCAGGGGTGAAATGAGATGGCAGAGCATCAAATGGCAACGACATTCTTTCAGACTTAAAGAAACATCAGAGGCAAATGTTTACGTGCACTTTAAGAAAATTTTCAGAATTTGGAAATGCAATGTTACAAATATCTATTAATAACCCTAAAAGCTTGGTACAGAATCTTTTTTTTTAAAGAGAGAGTGAGAGAGGGGGGAGAGAGAGAGAGAGAGAGAGAGAGAGAGAGAGAGAGAGAGAGAGAATTTTTAATATTTATTTTTTAGTTCTCGGCRGACACAACATCTTTGTTGGTATGTGGTGCTGAGGATCGAACCCGGGTCGCACGCATGCCAGGCGAGCGCGCTACCACTTGAGCCACATCCCCAGCCCTAGTACGGAATCTTAAAATAATAAAACAATAATATTTCTGTGTTCACTCTAAGGAGTAAGACTTCCAGGATCTTAACATGGAGCTTTTATGAAACTATATTCAAACACTAATTCTAACTAAGAATTCTAATTCCAATTTAAAATATAATAAGAGTTTTATACCTGTTCTTGACAAGCCAAAATTTCTTATTTGAATTTGCTTCAACACCGTAGCCAACCACCAGAACACCATGATCTAGGTCTTTGCTGCTGCATTCTGGATCATAATAAACTCCTGGGAGAATAAAATCCACACTGGAATGAGAGGCTCCAAGTGACATGTGACAGTGGCCCACCATGTCACCCATGGAAGGAAGGCATTTCTAAATTCTGTTGAACRTCATAAACATTCCAAATACTATAAAGAACTTAAATAGTATTTGCCTGAAAACCAGTAATGGCTGATAAGGGGAAAAAGTCGACCTCTACTCACCAGAAATCAACATAATTCCACAAGTCCAAAATATTTTCTAATTATTTTTTTTCCAATATCTATTTTTTATTTATATTTTTTGTACTGGGGATTTGATTGAACCTGGGGGCACTTTTGTCACTGAGCTATATCCCTGGCTCTTTTTATTTTGAGATAGGGTCTTGCTAAGTTGTTTAGGCCTTACTAAATTGCKGAGACTACCCTCAAACTTGTGATCCTCCTGTCTCAGCTTTCCCTGGTATTACAGGTGTGTGCCACCAGGCCAGGCAGATCTATTGTTGTAAAGGCAAAGGTATTTCAAGCACTCATTTCCTGGTTTACACATCTATTAGCATAATCCTCTTCTACCCTTATGTCTAAAGAAATAGTACACATAAAATAACCACATTTGAGCTACAAGGTTCTTTATACTTCTGCTTAAAGTAATAAAATCTTTTGGAAAAAGGTTTGACAATTGGAAAACAGGTAAATTAGATTTTACCTACTGACTGATTAGTATTCATTTAAAAATGTTGTGAATAAATAATCATGAGAAAATGCTTGATTAATGCAAATGGAAACATTACCATGTTCAACACACTTAGAAATCCTAATGGTCCTAGAAAGGGTTCCATACAGAAGATTCAATCAGGACAGTGTTTTCCGTTCCGCCTGAACTTGTGTAATGTAAGATGACAAACACCCACCTGATTTGTAGAACTGGAAGGATGCGTGTCCGGCGTCAATAGCCACAGAGATGGGCCCCACAGTGGCCACCGCGCTCATGAGGGCTTTCTCCCTCGGAGGGATGTCCACAAATCCAGTGTCATTAGCAACTGCAAACTCAGGCTTGTACTTACAGGTTTCATCCTTTTAAAGTTAAAGGGAAGAGACTTGATTGCCACCATCTATCTACCTTTGCGGGAACATGAATTCTAGGACCAGAACACTCAGCAATTTGCAAGTTATGATTTAAGTCAGTACTGGTATACTGGTATACTGGTATAAACCACTCTAGGAAGTGAAATGCTTTTAGTCTATTTGAATCTTTAAAAAGTTAGCTTATATTTTTAACGAGATCCCCTAGGTTGACTTGTCTTTAAATATTTTTTTTATTAAAGTGGAGAAAATTTACATTACATGGAAAATGGTTCGCATATCCTCCATGTGACACAGAAGCAAGAAAAGCTAAACATTAACCATCCAGAGAACTGTGCAAAGGCTAATAATATCTAATGAAGGATGGTACTGACAATTTGCAGTTATAAATTGTACCATTTAAAATGTGAATTCTGATGGCGAAGTGGCACATGCCTGTAATCCCAGAGGCTCAGGCGGTTGAGACAGGAGGAACGCAAGTTCAAAGCCAGCCTCAGCAAAAGCGAGGGACTAAGCAACTCAGTGAGACCTTGTCTCAGAATAAAAACACAAAATAGGACTGGGGATGTGGCTCAGTGTCAGAGTACCCCTGAGTTCAATCCCTGGTACCCCCCTCCCAAATAAAATAAAATAAAAACATGAATTCCCAATAAAGTATTATCTCRGAAAACGGTTCCACTTGCTGGAAACAGAGCTGGAAGGACCCAGATGCTTCATTTTACCTGTGCTTCGTAAGGATAGGAGTCCTCTGAGTCCAGGCCTCCGTTTTCCTTGATGTACTGGAAGGCATTATCCATCAGCCCGCCATCACAGCCCAAATTGCCTTGAGGCCGAGAGCAGTCAACAAGGTTCTGCTCACTCAGCGAGATAAGTTTGCCAGTTTTCCGGAACATCTGTCCTTCCAGGGATCCAGTTGCGCTAAATGCCCAACAGGAACCACACTGACCCTGAAAAGGTAATCAAAAAGCAGACAATTTGCAAGACAAAGACTGACAACATCTTACATTTGTGAACATCCTTTAAAAAAACAGTGAACACGGAGCATACAGGACAGCAGCCCGGGTGTGCTGCAAGGGTCCGGATGGGGGCAGGGGACTAAAATTAAAAACTAAAAATAAAAAAGTGAATTACATGTTGCTTGTCAAGCTACGGAAGCACGAGTGCCCCCTCCTGGCTCTCCTGTGGGAGAGGCAAAGTCTGCATCCGACATCATACCTGGTTCTTCACAGGAGTCACGTAGCCCTTTTCTCTCCAATCCACAGATTTGGGGCTCCCAAACAGCAGAGGTTCCCGAAACACTTTCCCCTGGCGCCGGTACTTCTGGATTTTAAAGCCATTCTTCAGCTGTTTGAATTCTTCATTGGTCTTCAAGGAAAGATAAATGAAATATTAAAAGAGTAAAAAACAAAAAAAAAAAGCTGAGCAGAGTGAAGTGCCCCCCCACATCACACGYACCATGTCCCCGAAGGCGTTCATGGCCATGGTGAAACCGTGCTTCCCCTGGCTGTACTCCCCATTGTGCTGCTCGATCATCCTCATGTTCTTCTCCCACACCGCTCGCCTCCATCCTTCTTCATTCTGGAAGCAAGCACAGCTGATAGTTTTTATTTCTATTTAAAACTCAACCCATCTCCCCAAGGGGACACCTGCT